ACTCAGTCAATTGCCTAGGTTATGTTAGTCGGCTCAGGTGCTATTATCCTCAAACGGCATTCAGAATTTGCCGTCGCAGGACTTTTGGGTGTGGTCATCATTCAGGGCTTTGGTTACGGTCTCATTTTCGACATGAACTTTTTCCTACGCAACTTGAGTGTCATTGGTGGCCTCTTCATGGTTTTCAGTGACTCGATGGTGTCGCGCAAGACCCTATTCGCCGGTTTGCCCCAGATTTCGGAAACTGATCGCAAGAAATAGTCAGCCGCCTACTAATCTATCTGTGACTTGTCAACTGAAATTTTTGCCTAGTTTCCTGCTTGCTGGACGTGTCTTGCTCATCTTCCTTTTCCTTGGTTTCATTCTGCAAGGACAATGGAGCATTGTTCGCGTCATTGTTTCCTTTGTTGGCATGGGTGCATGTGCCATGGTCGCCGTTGGTTTCAAAGCCAAGTGGTCCGCCGCATTCCTGGTCATTGTATTGAGTATCTTCAACGTCTTTGCGAACAATTGGTGGTCTGTGCACTCTGCACACCCTTCACGAGATTTCCTCAAGTGAGTCTTTTGAACGTGTAAAAGCGCGACGTTTACTAAGGCAAATTGCAGATACGACTTCTTCCAGACGTTATGTTCGTATTATCGTTTCTTTGATATGGTGTTGCATCTAACTTTGGTCCAACAGCTATTGTGGGTGGCTTGATCTTGTTGGTTAACATGGGACCTGGTACGTGTTGTCATTGGTTTGGGATACAGCCGCTTATTTATGAATCGTAAAGGTGGTCTGTCTGTCGACGAGAAAAAGAAGACGTATTAAGCTGATGCGCCATCGTCCATGCCCTACTTATTAAAAGCACAGTATAATATACCGCGAGTGGATTATGATATGTTACACTGCCAAATTATTGCTGTATTCGCATTGTATCCACCAAAAATTTTTTGTCCGGTGTCTTGGTTAGTAGCCTGTCTAGAAATGGCAATTCCATATCTTGACCTTGTGTGTCATGGTCGAGGTCAAAGTATACACCGTCAACGGAGCAGCGGCTGGCTCATCTTCTTCTCTGCCTGACTGGCTCACAAGGAAACGCTCCGCTGCAAAAGGAAAACGCGCAATCAAAGAGCACGTCGAAGGAACCGTTGAGCTCATCCAAGGATTCGAGTTCCCCGAAGCCAGCAACAAAATAAAATCCACCCGCGATGGACACCACATCATAGCAACCGGCGTATACAAACCCCAGATGAGAGTATGGGACCTTGACCAACTCTCACTCAAATTCGAACGACATTCAGACGCTGAAAACGTCGATTTCGTTGTAAGTGAGTTGTTTTCTTATTTCTCGTCGAACACGTCAAAAGCTAAACGTAACGTATATATATATCTAGATCCTCTCTGACGATTGGACGAAATCTATCCATCTCCAAACCGACCGCACCATCGAATTACACACTCAAAGTGGGTTTCATTACCGAACTCGAATACCAAAATTTGGACGGTCCTTGGCGTACCATTTTCCTTCTTGCGATGCTTATTTTGCTGCGTCGGGTCATGAAGTGTATCGTCTTAACCTCGATCAAGGGCGGTTTATGACTCCGCTTAGTTTGCAGCAGCAGCAGCAGACGGACGATGAAGTTGTAGGTGTCAATGTGGTTGATGTCAATCCTGCGCATCAGCTGCTTGCGTTTGGGATTGAAGCCAATGGGACGGTGCAGTTTTGGGATCCTAGGTCGAGGTCGCGTGTTGGCGTGTTGCGGGTACCGAAAGGGAGGCTTGCACCGCCGGGTACTATGGTGTCAGATGGGATCAGCGTGACTGCGATCTCGTCGAGAGGTGATGGGTTGTCGTATGCGATTGGGACGTCAACGGGGCATACGTTGCTTTATGACGTTCGATCGTCAAAGCCGTTTGCGTTGAAAGACCAAGGTTATGGGTTGCCTGTTAAAAAAGTGATTTGGATCGAAGGAGGGAATAGGATGGCTGGAGATGGTATGGTGTTGAGTACGGATAAAAAAGTCATCAAAATATGGGATAAGAATGTGGTATGTGGATTTTATTTTATTTCCTTCCCCAAGCTTTTGCTGATCGTCGATGTGTAGCCCTCGTCCAACTTTGTGTCCATAACGCCGGCTCAGGATCTGAATGATATACTTCATATACCAGCGAGCGGAGTGCTCATGACTGCGAATGAAGGTATCCAGATGGCTACCTATTACATACCCCAACTAGGTCCTGCTCCTAGATGGGCTAGCTTCCTCGAGAACATTACGGAAGAAATGGAAGACCAGACGACTCGTTCTGTCTACGAAGACTACAAATTCGTCGAAAGAAAAGAACTCAAGACGTAAGTTCTTTTTTCGTGAAGTTTTTTTATTATTACTAATCTGACTTTTCGCGAAGGTTGGGGTTGGATCATCTCGTGGGCACTGTGGCACTTAAACCTTATATGCATGGATACTTTATTTCACTCAAGCTATATGATGCTGCGCGGGTTATCGCCAATCCGTTTGCATATGCCGAGCATAGGGAGAAGATGGTGAGAGAAAAGATGGAGAAGATGGCAGAGACGCGGATAAGGACGAAGAAGGACGCACAAGTGAAAGTGAATAAGGCGCTAGCTGAGAAGATTCTCAAGGAGGCCGAACGGGAGAAGAAGAAGGTAGAGAAGAAGAAACAGAAAGAGGCAGAGAAGGGTGAAGAGGAAATGGACGTCGATCATGATGATCAGCTGCCGAAGAAGAATCTGCTCAACGATCCTCGATTCAAGGCAGTCTTTGAGGATCCCGAGTTTGCCATCGATGTGAATAGCAGAGAGTATGCTCTGCTAAATCCTTCTACTGTCGCGCAGATGAAGGGCGGGAAGACAGCCGTTGAGGATGAAGAGGAAGAAAGCGATAAGCTCTCTTCTGATGGGCTTGGGAACAACAGCGACAGCGGAAGTGAGAATGATGATGAAGACAGTGGGAGCGATAGCAGCGATGCAGGAGGTCAGTCCATTCTATCGTTTTTTGCTATATTACGTTCGTTGACGATTGTGGTAGAGCTTAGCAAGTTTGACCCTCGAGTAAGACCTGGTCAAAAGAACCCAGCTCTAATTCGGGGTCGTTCCAACCGTGTTCCAAAAGTCAATCTCGTACCTATGCGAGCAGACACTAGGTCACGAGGGGTGGACAAGAATGCTACGTTTGGTCAGCGACGCAAAGGTGCTTCTGCGCCTAGCGGCAGGGAAGATGATGTATTACAAGTGCATCTTGGTGAGGTGACATGGACTCCGTCAACAACGAAAGTAGCGCGTGAAGATAGTATGTTTAAGAAGAAGGGAAGGGAAACATTTGGAGCAGGGATGGAAAAGGGAGTTGTTGATCAGCCTGAGCTGAACGAGATGGAGCGCAAAGGACGCACACAGCGACGAAAGGGAGTTCGCAGTGGCAGCAGAAATGTTTTTAGGTCACTCAAGTAGCACTGTCACGCGTGACTCTTTGTCACTGAAAAAAAGATATGCAATTGACTCACTAAAATGTCTTCAACTGAGGTCACTTTCAAGTCTCTTGGCTTGATAGATCCTCTCTTGGAGGCTCTCGAAAAACTCGAGTTCAAATCTCCGACGGATATTCAACAGGAAGCTCTTCCACACGCTCTTGAAGGACGAGACATTATCGGGGTTGCTTCCACAGGCTCGGGAAAGACTGCAGCGTTTGCACTTCCGATTCTTCAAAAATTATGGGAGGAGCCAAAAGGACTGTTTGCATGCGTGCTTGCGCCAACGCGTGAACTGGCTTTTCAAATATCGCAGCAGTTTGAAGCGTTGGGATCCGCTATGGGTGTACGGTGCGCGGTGATTGTGGGTGGCGTACGTGAGGTGGATCAATCCGTCGCTCTAGCGAAGAGGCCACATGTGGTTGTTGCAACGCCTGGAAGGTTGCAATGGCATTTGGAGAATACCAAGGGGTTCAGTTTGAGAGGAATTAAATTTTTGGTCTGTTCTCTCTCTTTCTCTCTACGTGCCTGAGTTGATTTGGTCCAAAGGTATTGGATGAAGCCGATCGTTTGTTAGATATGGACTTTGGTCCTGTGATTGACAAGATTCTAAAAGTGATGCCAAAAGAGCGAACGACGTATCTCTTTTCGGCTACAATGACAACAAAAGTTGCTAAACTGCAACGAGCGAGTTTGATGAATCCTATAAAAGTTGAAGTGTCGACAAAGTAAGTGGATCGTTGTTGACTATGTAGGCAGCTCAACTCTTTTAAGATATCAGACTGTATCAACGCTACTGCAGTATTACCTGCTTATGCCACTCAAGGAAAAGGATGTACATTTGATATACATCGCCAACTCGTTAGCGCAAAATACAATGATCATATTCACGCGGACGGTCAGCGACGCCTCGCGGTTAGCGATCATCCTACGAACGCTCGGCTTTGCAGCTGTGCCTCTGCATGGCCAGCTCAGCCAGAGTCAGAGGTTGGGCGCTTTGGCAAAATTCAAGAGTGGTGGTCGGAAAATTTTAGTTGCAACAGATGTTGCCAGTCGGTTCGTGATCAGTACCCATTCGTTTGCCGCGGTTGACTCATGTGATGCATGCGTCTAGTGGGTTGGATATACCATCTGTCGATATTGTGATCAATTTCGATGTACCTACCCATTCCAAGGACTACATTCACCGGGTTGGCCGTACTGCGCGTGCTGGGCGTTCTGGGAAATCAATAACTCTGGTGACGCAGTACGACGTGGAACTGATACAACGGATAGAGCAGGTGATCGGGAAACAGATGGAGCTATGGGCGACTGATGTAGAGGAGATTGCGTTGCTGCGCGAGCGTGTGGAAGAGGCCGGGAGGGTGGCTGTGAATGAATTGAAAGAGCAACATCTGAAGGGCGGGGGCGGTAAGAAGCGGAGAAGGGATGAAGGGGTTAACAAAGATGATAGGGATAGAGACGATGATGTAGTCGAGGCAGGTATGCCTTTAGTTAAAAAGAAGGGGAGGCGCTAGTTAAAAAAAAAAGCTTCCCGCTAGCCGACTTGAACGACTGACCTCGTCATTACATACTAGTGACGCGCTCTACCAACTGAGCTAAGCGGGACCAGTTGTATTATAACATTTAGAATATCTCTCAACATATACTTGATAATAGATTATCAAAAAATAATAATCATCTCCTTCTCGATTGCGATGCTCGACGACCGGTTAGCAAGAGTGTTAGCCAGGTTGCAAAACCTTCCCTCCATTTCATTGCCCACAGATTACCCCAGATCTCTAGGCACCCACAAACTCATAGAAGCTGCTCACTTTGCCGAACTCTCAGAGCAAACCTCCCTTAGTCTACTCAAGCTAGCTGTACACAGCGAAGATGAAGATGCCGACGAAGATGAAACCGATACCCAGAGTAACAGACCTTCGGCTTTCCACTTGCTTCTCGCTGCTTTCACAGTTCTACTCCATCGGTACACTGGAGATACTGACATTCTTATCGGCTCCTCTTCTGCCGCTGCTCACGATCCCTTACTTCTCCGCCTCTCCATAGATCCTTCAGATCCTTTTTGGGCTATCGTCCGACGCGTCCAGCACGTAGAAAAAGAAGCGGAATCTGACGTCGTCCCATTTGAAGAGATCACACGAGAGCTTGCTAAAGGCAGAGATGAAGGTGGAGTAGACGCGCCCATTTTCCGTGTCCGGTTTTTCGACGAGACGGACGCACCGGAGAATTTTGTTCGCTCGACAAGTTTAACGTCCGACCTGACTGTCTTTGTCACACGACAAACGGTTTCAGCGACATCGCGAGAGTTGCTTGCTCCCAAGATATCCCTCCGCATACTCTACAACTCCTTGCTTTTCACTTCTGCTAGAATTTCATACATTGTTGATCAACTCTCCGTTCTGCTCCGAAGAGTCGGTGCTAATCCTCTGGCACTCGTCGGCTCTGTTCCCTTATTAACTCCGGGACAAAAGGCCAAATTACCAGATCCCACCGCAGATCTAGATTGGTGCGGATGGAAGGGCGCCATCACAGACGTCTTTTCTCGAAATGCTCGTCTACACCCTGACAAGCCCTGCGTTATTCAGAGCATACCCTCCGCCGACTCGACCCAACCTCAACAAAAAGTGACGTTTAGCTATGTCGCTATTCTGCACGCTTCCAATGTTTTGGCCCATCACTTGATCAAGCACGGTGTCCAACGAGAGGAAGTGGTCATGGTCTATGCTCACCGAAGCGTCGATCTCGTCGTCGCCGTCATGGCCATTCTCAAAGCGGGAGCCACGTTCTCAGTCATTGGTGCGCACGTTGGTCTCGTTCTTCCTTTCGTTGTTGCGTTTTAAAGCTGGGATTTTTCCACACCAGACCCTGCTTATCCTCCTGCGAGGCAAATCGTATATCTTCGCGTTGCGCAACCTAGAGGGTTGATCGTCTTGAAGGGCGCAGGAAGAATCAATCCTTCCGTTCGCGAGTTTTTGAGTACGGAGCTGAAGATACGCGTCGAGGTGCCTTCTCTGGAAGTTTTTCCCACTGGAAAAATTGAAGGCGGCGTTGAGAGCGATGGCTCTGATCTCCTTGGCTCTCACGCCCATCTTGCCGATACGGATCCAAACGTTATCTTAGGGCCTGACAGTATCGGCACTCTCTCATTCACGAGTGGAAGTACAGGCATCCCAAAGGGAGTTAGAGGAAGACATTTCAGCTTGACCCACTTCTTCCCTTGGATGGGTGAACGGTTTGGACTTGGACCTGACGCCAAATTTACGATGCTGAGTGGTATCGCGCATGACCCAATTCAACGTGACAGTTAGTATAAACTCTATCCACACTTTCAAGTTGACGAATAAATAAAACAGTGTTTACTCCTCTTTTCTTTGGAGCTGAGCTACATGTGCCAACGTCAGATGATATCGGTACCCCTGGACGACTGGCAGAATGGATGGCTGATAGCGAGGTGACCGTAACTCACTTGACGCCGGCCATGGGTCAGCTCCTTTCAGCTCAAGCTACGCGCCAAATTCCCTCATTGCGAAACGCGTTCTTTGTCGGAGATGTCCTCACCAAACGCGATTGCCTTCGACTCCAAGCCCTTGCGGTTAATGTCCGCATTATTAATATGTACGGCACTACCGAAACCCAACGCGCTGTATCGTACTTTGCAATCCCCCCTGTTTCTGAGGATTCTACCTTCTTGGCAACGCAAAAGGACATCATGCCGGCAGGGGAGGGTATGATCGACGTGCAGCTCCTTGTAGTTAACAGGAATGATCGAAACCTTGCTTGCGCTGTTGGCGAAATGGGAGAGATCTATGTCCGATCTGGTGGATTGGCAGAGGGGTACTTGGACCAAGATGCTTCCGCGAAGAAGTTTGTGACCAATTGGTTTTCGACGAAATCGCCTCCCAGGAAAGATACTATTCTTCATCCGCCCTCCGGCTTCGCTGGTTCAGAAGCTTTGCATTGGAAGGGAATCAGGGATCGCATGTATAGGTCTGGAGACCTCGGACGTTACCAACCCGATGGCACCGTTGAATGCACCGGTCGGGCGGATGATCAAGTCAAAATCCGCGGCTTCCGTATCGAGCTTGGTGAGATTGACAGGTATCTGAGCCAGCACCCTCTGGTTCGGGAGAACGTAACTCTAGTGCGGAGAGACAAGGACGAAGAAAAAATTCTAGTTAGCTATTTTGTTCCGCTCGACGGCCCGTCTTTAGCCGCCTACGCAAGCGACATACAAGAAGACGAGGACCCCAAGGGTGTCGTTGGTGGTATCAGGAAGTACAGGCGCCTTATCAAAGATATTCGAGAATATCTTAAAAAGAAATTACCAAGCTATAGCGTTCCCTCTCGTAAGATAATACCTTCATTTTAGCTGCTTAACACACATCTTTTTTGTTTCTTAGTATTCGTGCCACTCAAGCGTATGCCGTTGAACCCTAATGGTAAAATTGACAAGCCTGCTCTTCCATTCCCCGATACCGCACAAGCTACTTTGGGTGCTCCTCCTCCCACGCGCCAGGCTAGCTCCACGGAGAAGACATTAGAGAATATCTGGGCCGCCATTCTCCCCAACGCTCCCCAACCCATACCATTCGACGAAAGCTTCTTTGACCTTGGCGGGCATTCTATCCTCGCCACTCGACTTGTCTTTCAGATCCGAAAGGTGTTCCTCGTCAATGCTCCTTTGGGCTTGATATTTGAGCAACCTACCATTTCGGGCCTCGCTGGAGCGATCAGTGCTCTCAAGAATGCTGATTTGGGCTTCGTCAAGGAGTCCGCCGCTGTGCCTGCAGCCGGACGTGCTCCCGTCACACCGGTCAAAGCGGCGGTTGAGTACGGTCAGGATCTGGACAAGCTATTGCCTAGGCTGAAAGAGTCGTACCCATCGTTACCCGCGGATTATGGGACTTGTCAGCTGGTCGTGTTCCTTACTGGCGCCACCGGTTTCTTGGGCGCGTTCATCCTCAAAGACTTGCTTTGTCGCAAGGACAGAGTGAAAAAAGTGATATGTCTGGTCAGAGGATCTGATGTGCAAAAGGGACTGTCCCGTTTGAAGGAAGGCTCAACGGATAGAGGCGTTTGGGACGAGGAGTGGGTCGAGAGTGGCAGGTTGGAGGTTGTGACTGGCGACTTGGGCTTGGACAATTTTGGGCTAGGACAGGATACGTGGTCTCGAATTTCTGATGAAGCAGATGTGATTCTGCATAATGGAGCTTTGGTATGTTTGTGGGCTAGTTCAAGGGGTCGGTGAAAAAGCTAATTCGTGCCTTAGGTTCACTGGGTCTATCCCTACGAGCGGCTGCGCTCCGCAAATGTCATGTCAACGCTGACGGCAATGGATCTAGCCTCAATCGGCAAGCCTAAAGCGATGGTTTTCGTTTCCTCCACGTCTGCAATTGACACGGGATACTATGTTCAGTATTCCGATTCGCTAGTTACCGGCAGGTCCAACTATGAAGGTGTCCCTGAAAGTGATGATTTGGAAGGAGCCCGTTCATCTCTTAAGACCGGTTATGGTCAGTCGAAATGGGTATCAGAAAAACTATTGTTCGAGGCCGGCCGCCGTGGATTGCAGGGTCATATCGTTCGACCTGGATACGTCGTCGGTGATTCTCAGACTGCCGGTGGGTTGGGTTGTTTTTCCCCTGAGCGGGGAAAAGTACAGATATTAATATTACCTGACAGTCACAAATACGGATGATTTCATCTGGCGAATGGTCAAAGGGTGCATACAATTGGGTTTGACCCCTGATATCAATAATACCATCAACATGGTCCCCGTCGACCACGTCGCGTTGTGCTCTGCACTTGCAGCAATCTCGCCATTACCAAATAATGCTTCTATGAACGTTCTTCATATCACCGCTCGGCCTATGCCGACGTTCAACAGGATGCTTTCCTCACTCTCACAGTATGGCTTCCCCACGGAGCAAATTGAATACCTGGTCTGGCGGCGGAAGCTTGAGAGACATGTCATGGAAATTCAGGACAATGCGTTATTCCCCTTGTTGCATTTCGTTTTGGATGATCTACCGACGAGCACGAAAGCGCCGCAGCTTGATGATGCCAATACGCGTGCTTTGCTGCGGCAACATTCTGGAAGGCTCGCGTTAACTGTGGACGATGACTTGATGGGCTTGTATTTGGCGTGGCTCGTTCGAGCTGAATTCCTCCCCCCTCCATCCACGACGAATTCTTCAAAGGCATTACCTGCCTTGTCGAACGCGGGGGTAATAAAAGCGGCAGGTCGGACGGGTGCATAGACTTGCGAATGCCAAAGAAATAATACATGTATTGATACGAGAGACTACAGCGGGACGAAAAAATACACATTACACTATCGCGAATTAGTGATTGCTATTCATAATTACACAAGTAACTAGAAAAAAAAACATGAGTGGTGGTGGTTCATAATTGACATACTATGCGACGACCATTGCCGTATTTCTTGTCATCGGTGCGCGATCTTGATTCAACTCAAAGCAGCCGTTGCCCCGATAGCCGCACCCATCAAAGGGAAGAAACCTCGAACGACATTCATCCACGCCCATTTCATCATCAAACCCGGAATTTCATCATCCTCCTTCTCCATCTTTGCCTTTTCCTCT